GGGATCAAAAACGGGGTGAGGGGGGAGTGCATGGGATTATGGTGATGGCACACGGGTGACTCGGTGATGGGAAACCCGCGGGGATTACAATTGAGATGAAAAAAAAATTTTCCAAATTGTTTTAAAATTAACTTTTTTTTTTTTTAAAAAAAAAATACATCCTTAGAAATGAGTCCTTCCACTGAGGTTTGACTCCTTGTGGGTTCCAGCAGACATTCCCGGATGCCCTGTGAGGTCCCTGTGGCCACAGCCCCGCCCAGGGGAGGCTCTTTCTGCCACCTCTGCCGACCTGATGTTGGCAGGGGTCCCTCGCCCCCCAGCTCCATGCTCTCTGGGTGCTCCTGCCTCCCCGCTGCTCTCTCTTTTCTTCCCCTCCCCAACTTCTGATGCCAATGCTGGGTACGATCTTCGGCCGTCCTGCCCTCTCATCTCTACCCACACCTCCTATTGATGTCAGCACACCCATTTTCTGGCGTTAAGAACAATTTTCAAGCATATAACCTGGAGCTTCAGGTCCCCTACCTCTTGATTTCCTGACGGCTCCTCCAGCCATGTATGTGGGACTTCTTGCCATGTCGCATGGCATCTGAACAACTGTTCTGTATCTGTAGGCATTATTTTTAGGGGAAAACCCCTTACTGCAATTGAAAGGGGGTCAAAATGAACTCAGTTTCCTAAGCTACACAAAACTTGTCTAATTTTTTTTTGAGACTTGCTCACAGGCCCAGCAGAGACTGGACACTTAACAGCAAGTGAGCATCTGTGAGCATTCACAGATATGAAGGAAGTGAAGCAAAACCCCAAGGAGGTCAAGATTCAAACACCACCAACATGGGGACCAAAAATAATGGGTAGACGAGAGAGAATGAGCGGGCCTACTCAGAGACAAGGAACCTATCAACAGAAATTCAAAACTCCGGTTATCTGAAGAAAAACCTCTTGGTGTTTTCCCACGTATAGGACATAGTGGTACTAGCCAGGCACTTCAGCCAAGTCCATATTCCTTTGCGTCTAACCTACCTTTTAACCAATAAAAATTTAACTCCTTGGTTCTCAACCCCACTTCCCACAGGCAGTATAAAGCCCCTCCCTTTCTAGATGGGGAGGCAGCTTTGAACTTTCCTACTGCCTGCTTACCCTTTTCTCAAGACCTTGTGTTGTAACTGGCTCTTAAGCGCAACCCCCAGCAAACCCACTGCTGGGTAACACAGTGACCGGTGTCCTCGCGGGGACAGACAGATGCACAGAGAAATAGCCAAGGGGTGGAGGGTCGGGGTGGGGGTTGCCGCCAGGGGCCCTGGAGTACCAGGAGCCATCAGAAGCTAGAAGAGACAAGGAAGGAGCCTCCAGGAGAGTCTTCAGAGGAAGACTGACCCACTACCCAGAAATAAGGCAAATGGGTAACCCTGTGTGTCTTTAGGATCATCCTCCCTTTCCTGTAAAAGTGAAAATGATTTCTATTAAATTAAAGTAGTCCCCAAGTTATGGTTTTTTGTGTGTAACTCAGCATTGTTCTAGCATTCTTCCTCCTAGAGGGGTATATGGAGCCTTAGGCTTTGCCCTTTGAACCAGCGTGTAGCCAAGTTCCTTCTTTCATGGGTTAAGTATAATGTTGCTCAGTATGTATCTGTCCAAGAACTATGCTACCAAGTCTTGAAAATTTTGTTTTGACAGCAGAATTTATTAAAATGAAAATATCAACAATACCTACTTTCAGACAAGGATTAATCCAGGGATGGGTGATGTCTGAGAATTTGGAAGAATTCTCCTTGATTCTTGGGTCTGCTGCTTTATTCTCTGGGGGCTCTTGGAAGAGCCTGTCTCTACCAAGCCCGAATGCCACCCACGATGTGATCATATATGGCTTCTCGGCCGAGGCTGGCCCACTCTACGCCTTCCTGAGTGGAGCAGTCACTGCAGCTTCCCATGCCTGGATAGGTAGCAAATCATTCACGTCTCCCCCGCTGGCTGTCCACCCAGGCAAGGGTCCTGACCTCTTTGGGCTTCTCTGGGTATGAGATGAGGCGCCTGCTCTCCGCACTGGGATCCCTGGGGTGGGGTAGCTAGCTGACAGTAATACCTCACAACCAGGAGACTGAGCAAGAAGTGCTGGGACTTCTTGCTGGATTTGCGTTCCTACCTGGAGTCTCTGCTTTGGCATCCAGCACGGCCACCAACACAGGCCTCTTTCCTGTCCTCCTGGACACAGCAGTGAGCATGCGCCTGCCTTACCCCAAGTTAATCCAGGCCAGCTGCCACTGCTCCCTCTTTCTGGGAGGCATCTTGATGTCAGACTGATGTGCTCTTCCCTGGGGAACATTTTTCTTGGACCCACTTGGCTTCTCCAGGCAAACCTGTGTGTGTACCTGGGGGTATGTGTGGCTTTGTCCTTTTTGATTCTCAGCTCATTATTGAAAAGACTGAAAAGAGAGATAAGGATTACATCTGGTACTGGTTGACCTCTTCCTAGATTTTGTTACTTTCTTCAGAACATTCACGATGAGCCTGGCTATGACTGAGCAGGATAAGAAGAGAGAGAAGAAATGAAACGAGCACCTCACCTTTCCCAGCCTCACTTCCCCCCACTCATTTCCTCTTTGCACATATGACAGGCAGTACGTTCTGTCGCAGTGAACAGCGTCAGAAAAAAAGAGCTGAACATCCACTGTGTGTATATAAAGAGGGTTCCAAAAATGTTATTTCCTCGTCCTGCTTTTCATATCTGTGCAAGGCCGATAAACGGCCTTCTCTCCCAGTGAAACATCTCTGATAAAGCAGTAATCATTTGCCAGGTACAGCGTGTCAATTAAAAGCTGGCTGTCACCTCATGGTCATTGGTTCCTCAGGGTCCCTAGACTGAGAGGCTGCTAGCAAGCCCTGGGGGTAGGGAGGGCCTGTCCCTTTATTGCTAAGTGGTGTGATCTAGTCAAGTGGAAAGTGCTATTTGCTGGGTAATAACAGCTTCTATTGTTCACAACCCTGGAAACATATTAATGAATAACCCAAAGCAAAGCCCTTGGTTCCAGCCCTGTAAAATGGCTGTTTATTTAACAAGAACAAGGTACAGTTTTCCTTTTGTAGTCTCAAGTAGACCCAGAGCCTCAGGCCCACTGAGGCCCCAGTAGCCCTGAGCTCTCCCTGCTGGCCTCTGCTGGATATCCCCCCAGCATTTGGTGCCAGCTCTGTGCTGGCATAGCACATACACAATCCTTAGGCACAGAAACTCAATGGTGTGTGCAGACCTACAGGGATCCAGCAAAGGGGAGGTAGGTGCCTTCCAGTTGGGGATAGAGCCAGGTCTGGAAGTAGGGGCCCAGGGTAGGATCTCCTAGGATTTGCTGGCGAGGCCCTTTTCTGCAAGGTCCTGGGTTGCTAGAATTGACTCATCTTGACATTTGGAGCAGCGGTGCTTGGTCATGTCTGCAACGTGGGGCAAGAAAGCTTGAGCAGAGGGGCCAGCTGGTGAGGACCCATCTGCTGGGATGGTCAGATACATGAATGGAGGCTGGAGCTCATGGCAACTATGACACCACAGTAAGTCCCCCACCTCCAGGTGAAAACCATGGCCCAGGATGGGGTGCCCAGGATACAGAGCTGGGAAGAGGCTTTGCCAGGGAGCTGTGGGGTCTGCACTGAGTCCTTTCACTGTTGTCCGTGTTGCTGTAACAATAACAAGCACCTGCCAGGGGTGTAATGGTTTACTATGCACTTTCATACCATTATAAGTTGAATTCTGCCCCCCAAATTCGTATGTTGAGGCCTTATCCCCAATACCTGAAAATATGTTCTCTTTGGAAATAGGGTTGTTACAGATGTAGTTAGATGCAATTCGTTAAATTATAATTTATTAGGGTGACCCTAACTCAATATGACTGTGCTCTGACACCCAGGGAAGTGTCTGGGTACAGACATGGACACAGGGAGGAACCCAGTGACTACAGAGGTAGAGACGGGGTGCTGTACCTACAAGATAAGGATTGACGGCATACCAGCAGGAGCTGGGCTAGCACCTGGAGCAGCGTCTCCCTCTGAGCCTCAGAGGGCACTAACCTTCCTACCTACACCTGACCTGGGGCTTCACCTCCAGAACCAAGGGAGTAAATTTCGGTTGTACTAAGCTGCCCAGTTTTCTTGGCAGCCAAGAAAACTAACATCAACGCCCTCGAAGTATTTCCCAACAGGTAAGCATCATGATGTGGCTGGCCACTGGTGTCGTGGGGGAAAGCCACTGAGATGCAGACCCCGGAGCTGCAGAGACACCTGGGCTCAGTATTCCAAGAAACGGAGTATGTCTGCCCTAGGTTTCCCTGTGGATTGATACTGTGTGGCCTTGGGCAAGTTGCTGGACTGTTCTGCTTCAGTTTCTTCACAAGGAGACAATGGCTGGGCGGCTGCTACTGAATTCCTGTGAGGGTCGGCGGCGCAAGATTGGAGAGCATGGAGCAATGCGCCGGTGGAGTCGGGGTTACTCAGTTTACTTGGGTCCAGGGGGCGGGGCCTGTGGATGGGGCGGGGCTTTGAGGGGGCGGGGTCAGGACCGTGCGCGAACGGCCGCGCTGCGATCGACGTCCTCGGCAGTCCCGCGGTCTGTCTCGGCGCTCGGCTGGCCGCCTTGCGTAGGGCGCGCGTCCGAGGATCCCGGCGTCGCTATCATGTCGACGGCCATGAATTTCGGGTCCAAGAGCTTCCAGCCACGGGCCCCGGACAAAGGCAGCTTCCCGTTGGATCACTTCGGTGAGCCGGTGGAGCCCCGAGCCGATCTCCGAGCCGCAGTGGTGGGAGGAGGACGCCGAGACGGTCGGAGGTCGGACGTCTCCGGGGACGGGTTCCGGGCGTGCACCCCGCGGCCCTATACTGGATGCCAGGCCCGGGGTCCAGCCTCCGACCCCGACTCCGGGACTCCGAATTCCTTGAGCCTAGACTGGGCTAGGTGGGGGCGCACGGCCTGATTGGGGACACTGGCAGGTGCTCTCTGGCTAAATGGAGAAACTGAGGCCCGGCCTCCCACTGTCTGAGCAGAGAGGCCCAGGGGCGACAGAGTCGCAAAGAAGACGTGGTTGCAAAAGCCCTTTGGCCAGTTACGAAGATTGTCGTTTGTTAAACTTGAGGCTTAAACAGCTCATTATTGGTACTTTTGGCATAACAAAAATGCTTGCCGCATGTTTGTGGCCAGAATTCTGGGGGTTGGTAAGCCACAGGGGTGATCTTCCGTGAATATTGAGCCTTAGAAAATTTAAAGATTCCACACACACCCCCCTCCTCATTTTACTATGAAAAATTTCAAACACACAGAGTGAAATCATGGCACGAACACTCATGTATCCCGCCACTTAGTTTCTCCCCTTTTATCGTCGTATTGTTTTTCCATTGTGGTTTTCTGCATGTCTGGAGGAAACTAGTTTCCAAAGGAAAAACAGCTGCAACTCAGGCTGCTGTGTGAACATGTCACTTTTAAAAAGAAAACGCTGATTTTCTTTTTTGTTCTAGGTGAATGTAAACGCTTTAAAGAGAAATTCATGAAGTGTCTCCGTGACAAAAATTTTGAAAATGCTTTGTGCAGAAATGAATCGAAAGAATATTTAGAATGCAGAATGGAGAGGCAAGTACATGCTGACAATTGTGACTTCTCCCACCAAAACATTTTTTCCCAAGAAGTCATTGTAATATGTTTTGTTCAAGTCTTGGGTTCACCTGGTATGTTTTCAGAACTATAGAATTATTTCACCATGAAATTGAGGCTTATCAGATTAAGTTGTACTAGGAGTTGTTTAGCAATCGCGAAAACCTTTTCTTGAACGAGTGCATTATACATGATTGCGTTCCTCACAGTATTTTCTTTCCAAATTTGGATGCTATTCACCTGTCATTCAGGTTTCACGATCATACATCATAAAAATGCTGACTGAGTCAAAAGCTTTGAAGGTTGTGGGTATGCCGTTTATTTCTTTCACATTCTCAGACCATAAAAATATGCACTCTGCATTTTGTTCTCAGAGCTGTTTGGAATGTGACAGGGAAGACAATGGGCTGTTTAAGAAATGATGAAAGATGAGTGATTCTTCTTGTCTTAACCAGAATTCACCAAAGCTGACTTTTAAACAACGTAAAGATATTTATAATTAAAATTCATCAAAATTTTTCTGAAGAAAATAACTATTCCAGTCTTTAATGGAGAATATGTAATACATAATTATAAGTAAAGATGGAAATTTTTATTTCTTCTCTTGAAACCTTCATTAGCTCCGTAAAGAGTCCAGGCTTCATACAGCTTTGTGCTGAACATGGTAAAAGACCTAATCCACTTGGAGCCTCATTTCTATTTTCCCATAACAAACTTAGACATTTCCCTCAACACTGTTGTTTTTCTGGTCTATAGGTTTGTTGAGGGCTTATCAGTGGTCATTGGGACTTTGAAGGGGATGAGACTTCTTGGCAGTGGGCCTCTTTTGAGGCTCTTTGTTCTGCCATCTCAGTGTTCTGATTCACCCAGACTTACATTTGACAAAAAGCCACACTATATCCAACTCTTAACTTTTTTTTTTTTTAAGATTTATTTATTGATGCATACAAGAACTGGGGTACAGGCCAGAGGTGCAAGAGGGGGTGAAAGGATTTGCCACACACAGAGTGGGGAGCAGAACAGTTAGGTCTACTGAAATACACTGCTGAGGGGAGCCGTGTTTGAGATAGGAGGTCTGCTGTGCCATGTGCGTAGCTCCCTGGCCGGGGATTGAACTCATGTTACAGTGGCTGTGGAGAGCTTCATAGTGCTGTGGCTCAACCCTTTGTGCCTCCAGGGAGGCCCAGCTCTTGCTATCTTTATTTGCACATTGATGGGATCCACACGTTAAAATCACTGTCTTTTAAATGAATGCATCTTTAAAAACTGGAAGTAAGTAAGTTTCTTGTTAGTGCTGCCATACTTTGGAGATGATTTGAGGTTGGTCTCTACCAGATGAGGTGTGAAGAGGTCACTTACCTCTCTGATGACATTGTTCTTGCTGCAGAGGTTTGCTGGTTTGGGTTCCCAGAGATACTTGGCTTTTGAGCCAGAACAGGCAGGGGACCCGTCTTTTCCTGTTTAACCCTGGAGTGAGCTCCCCAGATGTCCATGTGGTGCTGTCTTGCTTAGCAGTTTCTGGAGACCAACTTGGCCTGCTGAGGACAGCAGAAAGCTGGACAGAGATGCCACATGTAGGTTTTATGATTTCAAGTGACTTCACTGGCTGGTCAGATAATGTGTTGAGATGAATGCACAGTGTGTGTTTGTCTTGCTCACTTGCTTTGATTAGCCTTTTGGTTGGTTTATTTATTTATTTTGGCTGGTTTATTTTTAGTGAATAGGCCAAGCCCCATCACTTAAATGCTGTGTCAAAATTTTGCTCACACCACACTTCTTCCTCTCTTATAAAATGCCCTCATGACAGTGAGTAAGGACTCTGTGTTTAGAAGCACAAAAAAGAAGCCAGGAGGGAAAAACAGTAAGACATGGTTAGAGATGCCCCTTCAACAAGTCTGAGTCTTCATAAAATCTGGTTCCTTCACATGGTCACCAAAGACCACTCCTGAGTCCTAAAGCCAAAAGGGAGAGTTTAACATCTCCTTAGCATAAGGAAACCATGGAAAGCATTTGTGGTCAGGATTCAGGGCTGAGCCATTCAGATTATCCCCAAAAAATAAAGTGGCATTTTTGTGAAATGCAGTATTACTCTCAACTTTTGCTACAGTGCTATCATCTTATGGGTATTCAGCTTATGATTCAGGGCAGTGAAGTTTTGATGTGATCCATGTTCTTTAGGACACAGAGGCCATATGTATATTTGCTGTCAGTTTTTGTTTTTTGGGTTTTTTTAGCATTCTTTTTTTAAATTTTTTATATTTTTTATTTTATTTATTACAAAAGTTTATTTTTACATCATTTTTGCTGTCAGTTTTAAGGCTGTTGGTTGGTTTATTTATTTATTTTGGCTGGTTTATATTCTTTTGCCAAGTGGTGGTCAAAATAATCACTGTCTGCCTAATTTGCATTTAAGGAGTATCTTGTGAGCTCAGTGTTTGTAGAATTACTTTAATCTGCTAGCAAACTAAATTGTACTGAAGGTTTTGCAGTTCTGGGGACATGTTCCTGAGTAGTGACAGATCTCTGCATGTGTTGTCCTGGAGCTCTCCTGGCTTTCTGGGTATTGTGGAGCCCAAGTGTCTGGGGTTGTGGGGGGCAGCAGGAGACTGCTTGCTAGGGGCGACCAGCAGCCTTCAGCCTCTGGGTGCGCTCCTGCCTGTTGGGGTCTTCTGTTGGCACATGCCCTGCTAGCATGGAGATGTTCAGAAGGCGTGTGACAAGGGCAGCATTGACAGGAGGACTCAGCACTTGCCACCCAGCCTCAGCCTGCCTGGGCTTCGAGTGGCCCCGCTGCAGCACTGGCTGGGAGGCCGAGTGCACCGTGTATAGGCTTATGCTGCCCTGGAGCCTCACCTCCTGCTTCAACTTTTCCCGGGCATTCTCTGCCTTCCTGCCACCGCTCCCTTCCTGTTGCCCGGCTCCAGACCTGGCTGGTGACCTTTTCCATGCAGTTCCCTGGTTTTCCACACATGAAAAGGGAGCTTATGCAGCATTGGGATGTGTGTCGTCCAGCTCCTCACATTTCCAGAATGTGGCAGCTGGGGAATCTGATGCTCTCTCTTTCCTCCTGGTCCTAGTTTCTCCCTAAATTCAGGATTCGGGAGAGGGTGGATGTTGTGAACCCTCTGTGTGCATGGCAGGCTCTCCCCACACATTCCCTCAGTGACTTGAGTTGAGGGGCACACTTTACCCCAGGAGCAGGAGCTCAGGTTTCAGGTTCCAGAGGGTGGCTCATCCTGTCCTGGCCTCATGGGGAGAGTATAGCAGGGCGCTAGGTCTCAAGGTGCTGCTATCTTCCGGACAGAGTGCTATGAGGTGAGGTAGTAGCGGATGGACAGCCAGGCACTGCCCTTCCCTGGACAACGCTCTTCATATTCTTCCCCATCCACTTTCACAACTTTTCATTTTCTTTTAGGCAATTGATGGCACAAGAACCACTGGAAAAACTGGGATTTGGAGATTTGATAGATGGAAAGTCAGAGACAAAAAAATAAATTTTGATGGGAAGAAGACCACCAGGCTGTGTTGGGGGCATCTGGGACAGAGCTGTGCACGGCTCCCCTGCCAAGTGTGCTTACTGGGCAGCGCGACTAAGTGGTGCCCTTGCCGGCTGTGCGGTCAGTGGAGAAACCCTGCCTCAGATCTGTCTCAGAGCTAGGGAGATGGCTCATTTTCTGAAGCTTCTCAAGTTATTTTGAAAATAAGTTAGTCCTTTGGATTCTCATTTTTTCCCTTAAATGAGAAGGGCTTTCTCCTTAAGTCTGCGTGTGTGGTAGTTCCTGGGAGGGCCCTGACAGAGGTGGTGGGGATGCCAGAGTGACACCTCGGTTGGGGAGTGGTGCCTTGGGTCTAATGTGAAACTGCCCTTTTACAGCATCGGTAGCATCATCTGTTTCTTCTCAGTCTTAACTGCTCTGTATTTGCAAATTTTGGTCAGTTAGTTAGAGAACTGTGTCAGAAAACCATTTCCTTGCAAAATGGTTTCCTCTTTGTGCTCAAATCTCTGCATAGCTTATTACTTTTGCTTCTGTTTGTTTCTTTACAAGGTAGAGTACAAACTAGGAAGTAAGAAATTCTGGCTTTTTTTTTTAACTTTTTTTCCTGTTAAAAACATGTCTTTGGATGGTCACTGAACTGCACACCTTTCTAACCAATGGGTCATTTTTTGATTTGTACCAGACCGTATTTGTAAAAGCAGGTGTTCAAGTTCAACAACTCATTTATTGTACCTGAAAACTGAATACATTTGTAGTTTGACCTTCAAGTGTCTGTTTTCCGCATTCAATAAGAACACACAGGTGTGCGGACTGGCGCTTGCTTCTGGGCTTCCTGAGCATGTGCCTGTGCCGGCACCATGGAGTCCTGTCTCCACTGTGGGCTCAGCCGCGCGCTCAGCTGCGCACTGCCAGCATCATCTCCAGTCAGCCCATCCTCACGTGGGTCCAAATCCTGAGCAGGATTTCTGAGGCGGTTTCCATGTCCAGCCAGAGTTCAGAGCCATGAGCAGAATGCTGAGTGCTCTGGAAGTCTGGGCCTACTTGCCCTCTGACCCTAGTGCTTTGGGGAGGGGCTGGCCCCAGTAGATTACCTTCCCCATCAGCTGGCTGGCTTTTGTCATGGTGAGAGGAGAATCTAGGCTGTACCCCGACAGCAACCTGGTAACTGAGCTTTCTCTAGGTCCTTGCAGATGGGGACCCTGAGCCCCTTGTCAGCAGGAGGTAGAGCCGGGTCTGCTTCCCTGGCTTCAGTCCCGCATGGTGACTGTCTCCTGGTTAAGCCCTCCCTGAATCAAGTCCCTCTCATGCTGGTTTCACGTCCGTGGTGCCCAGACAGCCCCAGTGACGCCAGCAATGGTTTTTTTTACCGCTCCTCCAATCTACACTTCGGCACTGTCGGTATTCTAAAAACCGGATTTCTTATATATTCCCTGGTTTGTGCAAAGTGTTGATTTGGCTCACCACATCCAAACAGCTATCCAGATATTTTATGTTTTCCAACAGTAAGAATGCACAGGTTATTTATTGCAGCTTTGGTTGTAATTACAAAATAGCAAAGTGACCCAGACCCAGCATGTAGGATAGTTTGAATAATCAATGCTCATCCCCACAGCAAGCACTGCAAGGCCAGGAAAGGGTGAGCTCATAGCATTATCACACTAATAGCTAAATAAAAGAAAGTCTAACAGCAGCTGGGATGTGCTTTTAAAAAGAGCATTAAACTACACATCTGTACATTTGTATAAAAAAAAATTTCAGGAAGGATATAACAGAAACTAAAGGGAATGGAGACTAGTGGTCAGGTGGGCATGGGCACCTGTCTCACCACCCCCTTTAGTTCTGACTTGGAACACATGTACTATGTGCTCAGTAAATAAAGTGGGCTGTGGAGCGCCCCGAGGGCTCACCAGCAGTAACACCGCACCGCCTCCACCCCATTGTGAATTCTAGCTCTGACCACAGTGAGCAGGGTCTTGCCTAAGTAACTTCGAAAAAAAGTATTTACCTAAAGCTATTGCCAAAACGAGATTTTGTACTGGAGTTAGTGAATTTTTCACATGAATAACAGTTTGGAACTTATAGTCTAAGATTGGAAGAACCAGAGAAATGTGACTAATGAGAGGGCTTTCTGATACAGAAAGACTGTGTGCTGCCAGGCCAGGAACAGCTTGTGTCTGGAGGTGATAGGGACGGTCTCAAGGAGCATTAGACTACTTGGTCCTCATTGCTCAGCATTGACTATGTCTTGGGGTTTTGTTGCCAAAATACATACCCTCCATCTAATGAGAAAACACCAGATAAACTCTAGCCAAGGGACAGTCTACAAATGAAGGTCAGTGATTTGGCAGGAAAGTCAGGGTCCTGGACCAGGCAGCATGAGGCAGGTGGTGTCGAGTGGATAAGTATCCTTTTGGGGGTTTTGGGGAAGATCACCATACTAACACTGGCTTATGTTTGCTGGAAGTCTGAAATTATTTAAATGCAAAGTTTAAAACTGCATTAAATTCTCTACAGAAAGCTTACAGAGTTGAGTAAACTCTTTAAATACATTCATTGAATTTCAACTAGGGATGGTGCAGATATATGACTTCAGCAAGCCAAGAAAAGAGTTGGGGGAGCAGTCCCAAAATAGGCTGCAATGTGGCGAGTTCCGCTTCTCCACAGGGCAACAGCATCTTCAAGTATTACCTCTGGTTTTCTAGATCTGAGTTGCTAAAAGTGCTGAAACACTGAAATGCTTGCTTAGGAAGTATAGGTCTGTCCGACCTGCCAAAGCACACTTTGGTGATCCATCACTTTTCTCACACACATTTGCCACCATCAGCCAAAATAGGTGCCACGGATAGTTTAAACGTTCTCCTTAGGCAGGAGATAAGTCAGGGAAGTCAGGCTTCTGTGGCCAGGTGTTGGCTTCCCTGGATCTTCCCATCAGGCCCGGAGCTGCCCTGATGGGAAGGAGTTACTCAACACAGGCCCGAGCCCAAAGGAAGGCCTAGTTGTGCCCGAGGGGACACTGGCGCTCCCAGACAGCTGGGGTTTATCTCTTATTATCTGTGGCAACACAGTTGGGCTAGAATTTATCTCAGGAATGACTTTTTCTGAAATCCTGCGCTTGCCTCATGTTATTTCTTGCTGGCTCAGGACAGAGATGGCTATGCATTTAATACACAGAATCAAAGTCAAAATCCAGCCAAACCAGCCATTGCATGTGGACATGATCCCCTTGTAAAATGGCGAAGACATTTCCTAGTTTTAGTGGACGCGGGAGGTCTGAAACCCTGTGCAGTGGGTGTCCAGGAGGCCCACCCTGCGGCAGCGTTGGCTCTTCTGCCCCCGTTTCTCTTTGTGACTGTTTTATAACAAGCGTGCATCCTTTTTACAGAAACAATAAAATCTTTACTTTTAAAAAGCTCATTGTGTGTGTTGTAATTTTATATCATCTATAAATTGTGTGCCTGTGGTTATACTTGTTACACGGACCATAAATCTAGCCATTTCTTTTTCCTGGTAAGCACTGTGCTGGCTGTGTTGGAGTGGGACCCGCTGGTGTTCTGCAGACCGTGCAGGGTTGGCTGGGGGCAGGCCTGATGGCATGCAGGCCCCTGGATGGAGGGGCTGTTCTGCCCACCCTATCTCCCCTGCAGGAAGCCGCAGGCATGGTCCCTCTCCCACCTGGGTGACCGCCCCGGGGAGTGGCCCACCCACTCAAGGGCTGCTTTCTGCCTGTGCCTCCTCTGCGGTTCTTCCTGGGAAGGGTCGAGCTACCTCTGATGTCACTCCACCCCCCTGGCATATGAGTCTTTTAATGAAATGTAGGGTAGGTATTTGTGGATGAGGAAGCAGGGACTGTATTATTGCTAGAGGCATGAAAGAACTTTCTAGTAAGTGCCATAATGCTGTGAATAAATTTGCTGATCTCCCATCTCTTCCCGGAGGATGACTCCGATGACACAGCTAAGTTATGTTGGGCCCTAGATTTGGGCCTCCTGTTTGCAGCTTGAGAAGATGATTCTCTGCCTGTTTCACTGGGCAGCTCTGCACCTGTGACACTTCTTACATCGTCCCGAAGCCGTGCCACCGTTCTCGGGGCATTGTGGGCACTCACATGGCAGTCATGGCAGTTGTGCTCCTGTGGTGCTCCGTGTGCCCCTGCAAAATCAGCTCTGCCCTTCTAGCCTGGACTTTGGGGAGCCAGAGTGGTAAGGGTGCGTTTTTAGAGGAAGCTCAGGTGGGTTCATCTATCTGGATGATCCTTCCCCCTCACAGCCCCCCCAAAATGAGCCTGTCCTGCCAGATGTGAAATAAAAGCTATGGTTGTTTGAAAACCGGACACATCCAACACCCTTCCTCTGGGTGTGGCTGGATCCGTGTCCCTACCCAGAGTTTGGGACAGTTGTTGACGGACCCACCAGGAAGATAGTGGAATCCTGAGGCGGATGCAGCCTGAGGAAGTCGTCCCACAGAGGTCTCTGAATAGGCAGAGACAGTGCCTGAAACTGCAACCCCCGATATTACAGCCCCACCTGGAATCCCCTAAGCTGGAGGCGGCGGGCCACAGTGACGGGGTGTGTGCCTCCAAGACACAAGGAGGTTGGGCTCTGCTGGGGTGGGTCGGGCAGAACCAGGGGAGAGGGAGAAGGGAGAGTTCCTCCCAAAATAAGTACAGCAGGCCTGCAGATCATTCCAAGTTATGTCTCAGCTCAAGTTAAACAAAACAACCTTACTCAAGGACCTGCTTTTTTTTACCTGTGTGTTTTGCTTCAAGTCAGTCTCCAGGAACCTAAAATGTACCATGAGGACTCACTGTAGTTGTAAAGTCCCATCCTCTGACACCTGTGTTCCAGTAGGATGGGTTCACTAGGGGGAAGTGGGGGGCATCCTGCTTCTAGGCTGAAGATGCTTGTCCAACTCCCCAGAGAAAACTGGGGTCAGGATGAGACTGGACAATAGCCCGGCCAGCTCTCTGCAACCCTCTCCAGCTCAGCAGGTGCCTTGCTGCCTTCCAGTGTCGGGTTTACAAACCCCGCAGTGAGTGAAGACCGGGCTCTGAAGGACGCATCTAATGATGTGTCGTTGGACACATCTGCTGTAAAGGGCACGATGGTGTCCACGCCAGACTACAGTCAGCACAGCAGAGGTCCAGAGGATGCAGTACTGGTGGTGTGGGGCTGGTGCGTTCCCTGAGAGGGGCCCGCCACGCATGCACACGGCCAGGAATAGAGCCTTCTGTCACAAAAGCTCAGTAATAAGCCTGGAGCAGGCCAGTGGCCCAGAAGAAATCAGCTTTCCTTCCTGTCTGGTTGACCTGCAAGGGCAGGAGCACCGCGGGACAGAATGTGGTGTCGTGTTGCCCCCTGCTGGATGGCAGTGGCACCGCAGCACCTGGGGATCACCTGAAGGTGGGCCTCCTGGGGCACCAGAGGGGACTGTGTGTGCAGCAGGCCCTGCCGTCGTGGAACTGAAGATGGGGCCAGGGTTACGTGTCCTTAGCACCCCATCCCTTCCTGACACTAGCCAGACTAGAGGGCTGGGACTCTTGAGAGCAGGGTTTCCATCTGAGGCCATAACTACCCAAGGTCTGCAAGCCCCCTGCCCACTACCCACACACCTTTACACCTCAGTTCATGTTGGGGCAGCACAGAATAGGTGGCTGGCACCACTAGGGAATGGTGACAGGCCAACAAGGGGCTCGCCATCTGTCCCCACAGACCATGTACCCATGGGAAAGATAGGGCACCCAGTAACCTAAAGGTGCCCCATCCGGAGAGGACTCCGTGAGACAGGACCCGCATGCGGCTTACACCAAGTCTTGGGCCTCCCAGCCCCAGGGACCCAGCGCTTGAATAAGGGTACCTGCCCAGAAGCACATGGGGCATGAGGCCCTTTGGCCCTTGTTTCTCCAGAGAGTAAGGCCTGAAGGGAGGACAGTGGGGCACAGGTTCCAGAGCCCACCCTTCTGCCAGTTAACTCATTTCCTGTTGCAAACTACCCCACACCTTGCCTCAAACAACAGCATCTCGTGGTTACCATTCTCACAGCTCTGCAGTTGGCTGTGCTCGGCTTGGTGGGCTTGCTAGGTGGGGGTCGTTCGAAGCTGCTGCTCTGGCTGTCCGTCTATCTTCCTGGCACCTGAGCAGAGAGCAGCAGCAGGGCCAACAGCAGGCCTAGGCATCGCCGGTGCTGGGCTTTCTCCCTGTGGTCCCTGCAGTATGACAGTTTCAGGAGGATCGAACTTCATTCCTGGGGATCAGGGTCTCAAGGAGAGGTGGGGTAATGGAAAGAGGGACAGAGATGGGCACAGACCGAACACATGTGCCAGGTGGAAACTGGCATTTTATGACCTAACCTCAGAAATCACATGGCATTTCATCGTCGGACAGTCCCAGCCCCACCAGAATTCAGGGTCAGAAGATAGAAGTCACTTCCTGGTCACACTGTAGAAGGTCACATGCCAAAGAAGATCAAGTTAGGTTACGGATGGGTGGACAACTAGTTAAATGAGAACCAGCTACACTGCTGTCCAGCATGGCCGCCCCATTCTGCAACCTGCCCCCACTTCCTCGCCGACGCTGGCCAGGGCGCCCCAGGGGGTGAGGGGGACTTGATAGTATTTCTGTGATAGCCAGCACGTTGGCCATTGGTGCGTCCTCTTTGGAGAAACATCCATTCAGACCTTTTGCCCATTGTTTAATTGTGTCACTTGTTACTATGACTTGAAAAATTCTTCATAAGTGGATCTTTTGAGTTACACTCATTTGTGTGTGACTTACATTCCACTGTGATGGTCATTGGTGAAAAGGGGCAGGGCCAAGGAAGGAGAGCCAACCCCAGCGTCTGGTGTCCAGGCTCTTCCTTGTCCCAAACCATGTCCGGAGTGGCCAGGTGGAGCTCCGCGGGCCCTTCTCCCTGCCCTGTGAGGTGCTGCTGGTGGAAGCCTCCGCTGTGGCCGGGCGTCTGCTCAGGCGTCCTGATGCTGTGGCGGGCCCTTGGGCCTTGGGGATGTTCCAAGCCTGCGAGAGGCAACAAGGGCAGGGTGGGGGGCAGTGCTGGAAGGGCCGCACCCCTCCTCCATGCGCCAGTTACCATTTCTCTTTGGGAAACTCAGAGAAAAATATATTTTTTAATTTTTTTATAACAGTTTATTTTTGCATCATTTTGTACATTGTTTTTCCCATCTTAATTGTAATCCCCGCGGGTTTCCCATCACCAAGTCACCCGTGTGCCATCACCATAATCCCGTGCACTTCCCTCCCCTCCCCCCGTTTTTGATCCCATTCCCCACTCCACCCCCACAGAAGGTCTCTGGTATATGGCTGTTTATTATTCTTGTTATTGAGAAAAATATTTTTAAATGTTCTCAAAACCATACACAGATTTGAGCACCCGCCACCTCCATGAAGAGGCCCCACGCAAAGCCATCTTGGGGATACCCGCCACCGTCACACGAGGCTGTGTGTGGCCAGTGCCACTCCCAGAGAAGGGTCCGCTCTTTGGTCTCCTGTGCCCCCTCTGCCCTTAGGAGCTGGGCTGAGAATTACTGGTACCTCCGGCTTTGGGCACAGCATCTTCCTCTTCGATTTCTGTTTCTCTTAATGAGAAAAAATTATCCTTTTGTTGGAACCAGAGGATGACAGCAGTGGCTGCAGAAGTTACCCGTGGTGACACTGTTTTAGAACAGGTCCTGTTCCTGCCGCACCAGGAAGCTGCCCTTGCCCTGCCTTTTAGCGGCCTTCTTGGTGCAGGGTCCGCCCCCTGGGGCTGGCTCCCTGGCGATTGAACCTTCCCTTCTGTCCCTGGCCCATAGAGGACCCTCAGGCACCCAGGGACAGCTGACTCCAAAGGACTGATACCAAGACCCCAGCTTCCCCCACACCCCCATCCTGAGACTATCCACAGCGGCCCCCTTGGGCTCTGGCATGGGATTCCATCTGGGAGGGGGAGCCCTGTGAGCCCGTGTGGCCTGGGTTCCTGCTCTTTTCCTGTCATGCCCAGCGCGCAGGCCTGTGCTTGCTCAGCCCAAGAGCTATGACCTGTGCAGGAGGTGGGGGGAGGAGGTCTGGTTCTAGAAGGCAGCAGTGTGCCACCCCGATGCTGGAGTCAGGGCTCATCCAGTCTAAGCCCATTGGTCTCATGCCTGATGGGTGCTGGGCCGGGAGGTGGATGCCCCCTCCTCTGCTGGGTGCCTTCGGGGGTCTTCATCTCATGCCCTCATCAGACAGCAAGCTGCTCCCAGCCGCCAGGGGCTGTCTGCATGCCAGTGGCCATCACTGGGTGTTAGGAAAGGCAAGGCCCTTCCTCTCTCTCCCTGCCCAGAAGCTGCCTGTGTCCCTGGCAGCGGCAGGCATGGCTGGGTACCTACTGGTTGAGCCACGGGTGGGAGCCATCAGCTGTTGCCAGCCGCCT